AAAAAAAAAAAAAAAAAAACGCTTGCGGCTAGGGAGCCGGTGCCACACCGGCAAACGTTTATCAACCTTTGAGAATTTTATATAGGGTTTAGGGTACGTAGGGCGGGATTGACAGGAGTTTGTTAACCCCACACCCTACGGTAATGGAGCATCAGATGGACAAGCAAAGGGAAACTAAAATGCGAACTGGGTCGAGTGTTCTTTCGTGGTTGAGCCAAGTAAGATTACGTACATTCTTCTTCCACATACCATTCCCGAAGGAAGAATATGGTCTTAACTACTCTACATTGCGGACTGTGTAATACCTGCAACGATACAAAACACTCCCTTGTAGCGCAGCGTGGTAGCTTAGGACCTGCAGATGATCTTCACAGCTTGAAGAGTCAATCCCTATCCCCCAACCCCCCGCACACGTGTGCAGTTGAAGAACTTAAACTGAACTACCACAACATGGGTATACGATGCACAACCGGGCCTCCCTGCATTGGTAACTTAATTCAAGTTGCTTAGCAATATTCTAGACAAACACGCAGCTTGAAAGCCCTCACTTGTCGCCGCAAGCTCCCAAAAAAGTACCAGTTCTACTTAAGCACCTAAACTTGGACAATCGCAAAATTCCAAATCCTAAGCACAAAGCCCTGAGTCTCTCTGCCCTAAATCCTAAACCCTAGACCCTAAATCCTAAACCCTACATCCTAAACCCTAAGGGGCCCACTGGAATAAGGAAACCCTTGCACACGCCGCCTCGCTTATGCGAATTGATCAGGGTTTAATTTAAGGTCGTGTGATGCGAGCTCCGAGAACCAGAAGCACTTCTGAGAAAACCTGGCCATAGCCCCCGAAAGCCCCCGACAAGCTGCACGATATATCCAAAGAATTCTAATTACTTTCCGCAACCCCGTAAGAAAATGATGACCCTGTGACTTTCATGTGAAACCCTAAACCCTAAACCCCACTACACCCTAAGCTCCTAACCCCCCCAAAACCCCCCAACCCCACCGCAAACTGTCTTAGGTTGCCTCCTGTTGGAGCCGTTTCAGCTCCTGCCACAAGTCAGGGGTGCTTTGATAAAGCCTACCTGGACCCCAAAGGTATGAAAACTAATGGCCTTTAGGGCTATTATTAAGGGTTTGGGGCGATTATTTTACATACTGTTGGGGTTTAGGTAGGGTTTAGGGTTCAAGGTTTAAGGTTCAGGGTGTAGGGAACGATTTATACGGCCTCGGACCCTTCACTGTAGTTCCCTTGGGGTTGGGCTTTGGTGTTTGGGGTTTGGGTTTTTAGGTTGAGGGTTTAGTGTTAGGCCTGTTTGGATAGCTGATTTTGAATCTTTAGGACTTCAGTGGCTTACGGCTTGCCTTGACCGTCCAATGTAATTCCCTTTTGAGTTTGGTAGGGCACACATGCGGGGGCGGCAGTAACGTCTTGCCTCTCACGCAATGTGTCTTTCCAGTAATACTCACTGCCGGCACCCAGGACCCGGATGACACTTAGGGTTTAGGGTTTAGGGTTTAAGGTTTAGGGTTTAGGGTTTAGGGTTTAGGGTTTAAGGTTTAGGGTTCGCTTTCCTCAATGCACGTGAGTTTTTTGAAAGAGAAGCATCGACAAGAAGAGGGAAATCCATAGCGGATGTGTGTGTGCGTGTCTGCACGCAGCTCTCCAGAATGTACACAAGTCGCATGGTCTACAGCCAGCACGAATATTCTGAGAGAAGCCATGTCAACGGCACTGGCTTCCTGTCTACCAGGCAGGGCTATGAGCCTTGTTGGCTAGGATTCTCGGGCCTAGGCAGGGAGGAGCATGCGGGCTCCATAGCCCAAGCTTAGAACACAGAATGCATGGCTAAAACCCTCCTGTGGATGAGAAATCTTGCACCACCCTACGGAACATATACACTGGAAATTACAGTATTGGGGGATCCTAATGTAGACCCATGATTAATAAATCCATCCATTCCTTTAAAGGGCCTTAATATTAGGATCCCTATTATAATCCATAGTAACGGGAGGGGGGTTATTAATCAGCGGTCTACATTAACTGTTTCAGCACTTCCTGAACCCCAAAAGTAAGTAAAATAATAGCCCAAAATCATTAAAACTAGCCCAAAGGGCTATTATTTTACTTACTTTTGGGGTTCAGGTTCCTCTTTGCACCGTGCATCTCCCGTAGCTTTTCGACATTTAGTGTTCGTCGGGGTTCAGGGGCTGAAGGAAGCGGGTGATCCACATCCATCCCTGGGCATATGTTGAATGCCAAAAGGAAGCCCCTAATTTTTGGATGTTCCCAAGAAATCAAATGAACGAAGGGAAAAGTTTGGCCAGTTCATGAGGCCGTATCACACACCTTAGCCCCAAACCCACCGCGGAGATTCGATGGGAGATTGATGGAACCCAAAACAATCTCTACGAGATTGTAACCCTAAACCCTGAGCCCCGAACTCTTAACCCTAAATCCTTGAAGCGGAATTCCGGTTCTCCCAGCGTTGAACTTGTAGTATGACACCCACAGAAGCTTGGTGCGGCTTACTTGCAGTTTGTTGTAACCATGTTTCCATCGAAGTCCTACTGTTGGTGGAGCAAATCTTGCACCATCTATGATCTCCAATAATCTGTATTTCTTACAGGATAAGGTTCATTGGGTGGTGAAATCTTTGTAGAGCAAATCTAAAAAATAGGGACCCTCAAGGTCTGACTATAATTGCAATCCTCCTTGCGTGGCATATCTAGTCAAATTGGGAACAGAGCGTGGGCTTCCAAAAGGATGACCCTGCACGCTATATATAGGATGTATATATTTTTTTTCAAAAGCATCTCGCGGCAATATAGACCCAGGGTGTGCGGTTGAGGGTCTGGAGTTTCCCCTAAATCCAGGGCCCCAACATAGATCCCAACATCTGATAGTAATAAGAAACTAGGGTTTAAAGTTTGCGGCCGGAAAGGGACCCGCCTACACCCTAACCCCCTAGAACCTAAACCCTACCGCCTAATTAAACCCTACCCTCTAAGCCCTAGACCCCATGACCCTAAACCCTAAACCGTACCCCTACACCATTGACCCCTGCCTGGGCCCCAAAAGTGTGTAAAGTAAAAGCGTCAAATCCTTAACAACAGCCCAAGAGGCCAGTATTGCACATACTCTTGGGGTTCACGTAGACCCTAGACCCTAAACCCTTCCCTTTCCCTCCCCCGCCCACCTGCTCCGCCTTTTGCATCTCCTTCCACGTCGCCTCCATCCGCGCCTGAGCCTCCCAGGGTTAGGGTTTAGGGTTTGGAGTTTAGGTTTTAGGGTTTAGAGTTTAGGGTTTAGAGTTTAGGGTTTAGGGTTTAGGGGATGAAGGAATTAGGCTTTGAGGCATCAAATTCAGAAAGTCAGATTCAGGTGTTAAGGATACAGGCTCTAAGATTCCAGGATTGAGAATTGGTGTGTAGGATTGAGCGTTTGGGATGGTTGGTTTAGGTTTCAAAGCTGTATACTTTTTTGCTACGGCCATTTTCCGTCTGCATGCTGTAGGCTTTAGGGTTTAGGCTTTCAGGTTTAGGGCTTAGGGATATATAGCTGCGCGATTTGGGCTAAATCCCATTTGAAGGTTCCAACGGTAGGCTTTGGGTATCAGATTTGGTGGGGTTGAGGAAGAGCATGTCAATAAGCTTAGGGCTTAAGGCTTAGGATCCAGGATTCGGAACCTGTGGTTTAGGACCTAAACCCACTCTAACCCATGAACCCTAAGCCCTAGGACCTCAACCCTAAACCCTCAACCCTAAAGGCATCATCGCAGATTGGGCTTATGATTTAGGATTTACGACCTTTAGGGTCCAAGGATTGGCTTTACGTAGGTCAGGATGCATTTTGCTGGATTGCTGCTAAGGAACTTAAGCTAAGTTACCATAATGGGTATATATATATATAGGGCATATGGGGACTATAAGGCATATAGGGTTTAGGGTTACAGCTCTGGTTATATATAGTAACTAATACGGTTTCCCTAGTTTAAGTTCCTTAACGGCAACCCACTTTTGGTAAGCATTAGGTTTTCCAAGGCCTTGCTATTGCTGTAAGGGAGCAAATGTCACCTGGAAGATGTATTGTTGATGGACGAAACCCTGCATAACCCAAGAAATACCATAGCGTCGTACATCCTAAGGTTCGGGTACATAGTGTCATGCAAACTTGTCCACCAACCGGTACGAAATACAGTGCAGATTTCCCGTGTGGTTAAGTATGTGCGCGATAAGGTGGCTATACACTCAGTACCTGTTCAAGCTTACAAGCCCTCATCCTACCCCACCATCCCTGCGCAAGCCGTAAACCCTATACTAAACCCTAAACCTCAAGCACTAAACCCTAAGCCCTAAGCCCTAAACGCTAAGCCCTGAACCAGAAATCCTAAGCCCCAGACCCTAAACCCCCAATCCTAGATGAGCTACAGTCTAAACTCCTAGTATCCCCCTCAATAACCCCTATAATAGTCCCCTATTTGGAGGCCCGTTGTACTTATAACCTACTTAGTCAGTGTAGCTATAACCAATTATGCCAAGGGTAGCTGTAGTTCTGGGACCTAAGATAAGGTTAAAACTTCTGTTACTCAGCAGGTTCTAGTACAACGGACCTCCAAGTATATAATCCCCTTCAAGGAGTTTAGACTCTAACTCATATATCACCCTAAACCCTAAACCCTCCATTATAGACTATAGCTCATATGATCCCGATAGTGACGAGTGCTCAAGTGGTCAACCCAACTTTAAGGCACCCTCAACACTAAACACCCCAAAACCCTAAACCTTAAGCCCTAAACCCTAAACCCTAAGCCCTAAACCCTAAGCCCTAAACCCTAAGCCCTAAACCCTAAACCCTAAACCCTAACCCAACTTTA